GCAAATGACCAACCAGGCCGGCAACATGAACTCGTACGACGGGGACTTCATGATGCAACAGATGCAGCGAGATGCTCAGTCGCAAATCCGGTCACAGATGTCGACACCGGCGCATGGGTCTATGAGACGTACACCTTCGTACAGCTCAGCTTCTTCTGTGGCGTCGCCTCGACCTCACGTCGCGCAACACTCTTCGAGTCAATTTGCACCCCCCACTGGGCAAAACTGGAATATGAGGCAGAATTTTGAGCAGCAGAACTTATCAACAAATGGTACGAACCAGAGAGTGGCGGGAAACTACGCTCCCATCATGGAAGAGTTGGATTCGAATTTTACCTTCGATGTTAACGCACTTACGGGAGATGTTGGTGCTGCTTACGTTGGTTCTCAGCCAAACCTCGGAGACGCATATGATGTCAGCGATTGGTTGCCCACAGAAGATAACAACACTCAGACGGCCTTCAACTCGACTCTCCCTTCGAATGGAACGCCTCCGATGCACCAAGCCGACTTCCAGCAGCCTCAACAGCGCAGCTACCAAACCCATTCACGCAATCACTCACAACCGTACGAGAGTGGTTCAAGAGACATGTCTCACGGGTCCGAGAGCCTCCAGAATGAGCCCATCATGGAAATTAGCAGAAACAGTTCACGCCAGCCTTCTGTTCCGGGACGAGCGACTAGAGCTTCTTCCCGCTCTACACCTGGACCTTCTGAACCTTCTGGACGATCGAGACGCAAGACACCAGGTCCGGCGGAGCCGACTCAAGTTCCATGTGTGAACTGCTACCGTCACTGGTGGGAAGGCGAATGCGACGAAGGCCAGCCATGCTCAAACTGTGTTGCATCAGGAACAAGATGTGTGCGGCAGAAATGCATTAACTACACTGCCGGCACTTGCGACAAGGGCAACAGGTGCCCCAACGTACACGAAGGAGACGAGCGTTACCAGAATGAGGAGTTCCTTGTAGCCCAGACCAAGGCGGGCAAGCGGCCTTCACGTTTGGGTACGAAGGCGGACGCGAAGCCGGCGCCGAGCCAGGGTTAGGATGCTTGACCTATTTGATATATCTTGAGGGTTAACATGCTTGCCCGCAACTCCGCATGGTTGTTGCATTCTGGCGGCATTGAAGGGGGTTGGTCATGTTCATTTGGATCGAGTTTGCTATCTTTGGTGTATTCCCCTCCACCCTGGCTTGACAGCCCTATTGAGTTCCAGCCGCCCGAAAGGGCAGGCTCTCATAGGGCTGAACATAGCCGGGTGGGGGTGGATGCTGTGGCTTTGGATCGCTCACAGCGTTGTGCTTTCCTTATTGGTTTCTTTGTGCGGCTTACTACACGTGCTCTCGGTGGTCGGAAGGTGGGTTGGAAACTGTATCATATACCAGATTTGTAGTGTTATAGAACCTTGATGATGCACTTCACCCTGTGCACTTCAAATGCTTCACCACCCTTTAACATGCAGTCTCGCGCTTGCGGTAAAAGAGATAGTCTTCGAGACCATCTCTTTTGAGTTAACATCCTCATGGGCTGTAGTGTAGGAGTCATCTCCAGATTGTAATCGAATATGGCGGTGGCAGCTCGCGGTATCGACTGTAGCAATATCATGACAAGCGTGCTAGATGTCGCGATGTTATGCACTGAGGTTTGCGCGCCGCGCGCGGGGCTTCGATAATCACCTACGCCGGTGGCGGATGTGCGCTATTCCAGATACGATCTAGCTTATCAGAAATTCAGGGTTTTCAAGCTTCACCCCACATCATCGACGAACCAAGCTCGGCTTGGCTATAGCTTGCATGTCTTACTCGCGCCTCTTTCCACTCTTTCCAATCATCGGCACTTCTTTTCATGCGGAGTATCCATTGCGACCGCGATCCTTCCGACATTCCGCGCCGTTAGAGGCCTAGGCTCATGGTGCACCTTCACCCCATGCAATGCTAGGAGGTTATCTCCGACCATGACGAATCGCTAGGGTACGCTAAGCGACTACTCACCCGGCTGAAAAAGCTTTAAGTCGCGCAATGTTGGACTCGGAATCTTTTGCGTTCCTTTAGACGTTACGTCCATTTCAATTCACATCTATGGCTTCGAACGAGCCAGGCCTTGCGCCTCTTAGTGCGCCGGCTGAGGACCCGATCAAGGGAGCTGTCGGCGTACCCGTCGATACAGACACCCCCGTTGCACCGGACCAGTTCGACGAACGTTACGAGACATCGAAGTGGGAGATCTGGTCGTATTACTGGTAAGCAAACTATTCCAGCGCAGGGACTTATTTGGAGCGCGGTACATTGACTGTACTGAGGCTGACATCCTATTTTCGAACAGCTACTACGTCGGAGATAATGGCCTCACCCTTTTCAACTTCGGTCCGACGGCTTTCCAAAACCTCATGTATGAAGCTGCAGGAGACTCCGAGGTGCTCTTCTTCATGGGCCGAGACCGTACCATCAACTCCATTGTGCTTCTCTGCAACGGCATCAGTTTCGCCATCCAGGTCCTCGTTTTCTTGATCCTCGGTTCTTTCGCCGATTTTGGTACATGGCGCCCCAACATCCTGATAGGGCTGTCCGTCATTGCTTTCGGAATCGGCTTTGGCTGGTTAGGCGTTCATACCGAGGATAAATGGCACGCCGGTGTGGGTCTCTATATCGTCGGTCTTATCGCATACCAAACGACAATCACATTCTGGACTGCTGCCTTCCCTGGACTGGCAAGGAACACCAAGGAATTGCGAGTCAAAGCCGAGGAGTTCGCCGATGGAACGATTACCCGCGCAGAGTACGATTTTGCCGATATGATGAAGCGAAACGAGCTCTCCAACACAGCGTTCTACGTTCAATCCGTTTTCGAAATCCTCATCCTGGCTGTTATCGTAGGCATCATGTTCGGTCTGCACGTTAATGACAGCGCGGAGAACAACAACTGGGGTCTCTCGGTACTTATCGCTTTTGCGACCGGAGTTTGGATCTTGTGCGCTCTTCCGTGGTTCATCCTCGAGAAAAGACGACCAGGTCAGGACCCAGGACGCGCGAACATAGTCCTAGCAGGTCTCAAACAGCTCGGATACGCGATGCGACAGATTTGGCAGTTGCGCCAAAGTCTGGCCTATCTGGCAGGCTACTTCCTCCTCGGTGACAGTCTCAACACAACCGTGACGGTTATTGGAACTCTGCAGAACGAGATCGTTGCATACAACAGTTTGCAGCTTACATACCTGCTCATCGTCGGTATTGCTGCCCAGGCGGTTGGCATCGGCGCCTTTTGGCGCATCCAGAAGTACTATGGTCTATCCACCAAGACCATGTTCATGGTTGTCGCCATATGCATCGTCCTTCTCGACGGCTGGGGCATGATCGGCATCTGGACGCAGCGCTTCGGTTTCCACAACAAGTGGGAGGTTTGGGTATACCAGGCCTTCTATGGATTGCTTGTCTGCCCGTGGTACAGCTATTCGCAGACCATGATCTCCGAGGTTACACCGAGAGGGAAAGAGTTTCTGTTCTTCAGTTTGTTCTCGATCGTGGGAAAGACGAGTGCTTTCATCGGCCCACTGGTCAGCTCTGCCATTATCGATGATACTGGCAACAACAGTAGTCCCTTCTATTTCTTGTTCGCGTTGAGCTTGGTAAGCTGCGCTTGGCTTTTCTTCTTCGTAGATGTCGAGAAGAGTAGGATTGAGCAGGAGACGTTCTTGCAGAGGGAGAAGAACACTAAGATGCACAATGAGGACGCCGAGAGTCTTACCTGATAGTCTAGTAACAACTGAATTACCTCGTTCGCGAAGAGAGTAGCTGTCGCTTCCTTCAAGCCGTTCGACAAACCCTCATCCTGATGATGACGATACCTGACCGCGCAATGTTTCTGTACATGCAAATTCGGTCAAGCAAGACATCCGCAAGTAAGAGAACAGTAACACACTGCTTTACAATTGCGCATCACCGTTTGCTCACAATCTTGTTCAGGCGGGGCTTCGACTCAAGTTCACAATGCCCGTGTCTCAAGCTCACAACTGTCTGAAACCAGGCCATATTTTTTGAAGTTTTAGCTATTCCCATCTCATCACGTTGGTTCACCCGATAATTCGACGATTCAGTCTTACCAGCCATCGACATCATCAAGACCAAGCACACCGCACAACATCTGAACAACTCCAGACAAACAGCCATGACATTAACCTCGTGGCTAACAAGCTCTCCCGAGCAACCCATTGATACCACCGACCCCAATAGCTTCGCCTCTCTCGTCAACAACATGAACCTCGCCGCTATAAAGGCAGACGCCGAAAACAGCTACAAAGAAAAGTACCTTCGACTCCGTAGGCAAATCGACTCAGACACCGTCCACAACGACCTTCGCGCAAAAGTCGAATTTCTCTTAGCCAACAAGACCAAATACGAGACCAAACTCCGAGACACCGAAAAGGCGAAAACGAGCGCAGACATGCAGGTCGTTGCGCTTGACCTTGTGATCAAGGATACGAATGTGTACTACAAGTCCAAGCTGGAGACTGCAGAAACGCAGAACAAGGCGCTCAAGGCGGAGAATAAGAGGCTGAGGAGAGATGGGCAGGACATGAAATCTTTGCTTCTCTCTCACGGGATTCGTGTACCAGCGCAGGTTACTGCGGAACAAAATGACAAGCAAACTTCAGAATCTGCGTCTGCCCCCGAGCTAACGGATGATAGCGATATGGACGAGGCAGATGAACTTGGTCTTGACAAGCCGGCCTCGGGTTCAGGGGAGGTTTGTCCGCAGTGGTATAATCATGGTACATGTAGTCGGGGTGGCGGTGATGTTCCCGGAGCGTGTGAGCTTGGTGCACATCCATACCTTGTTGGATTTGGTACGCCTGTGAAGGAGTAGAGATGCGTGTAGCGATGTGTTTGGTAGCGGAGATGGCGGATGTGACGTATATGATTTGTTGGTTAAGACATAAAGCCATCTCTCACTTGTAGATTCATTCTTGGTTCGCCTGACCTATCATACAAACATCCGCTCACCTACTCCCCCAACACCTCCCTAATCTTCTCCTCACTTGGAAACCTTACCTCCTTCTTCGCAACCATATCAACCAGCTCCTGCACCCGTCCCCGTTCCTCCTCCGTTATTTTCTCCATCCTTCGATCAATATCCGCGCCAAACCTTCCCCAGAACTTGGCGAAACTCGCCGACTCATCCTGCAGATACTGGCCTTTATTAATAACAAGAAAGTTTCTAAACGCGTCCCACCAGGTCATCGATTCCTTTGGCACGATCGCGTCTTCCAGCACGTTCGTTTCTTGTGAGGACGTGCGACCTGCATTGTCGAGCATGTATATGAGCTCGTAAGTGTATGAGCGGTCGGCGCCTTTTGCCATGTTGTCAGGGTCCAGGGTGGCGCGGTCGAAATCGATCAAGACGATGGTTGGTAGTGTGGAATGAGACGCTTTGCTTGAGGCGGATACGTCGAGCATTACGTTTCCGCCGAAGACGTCGTTGTGAGAGATATTGGCGACGTCGTGGAGCCACCCGATTGCTTGCGTTAGCTGTTTTGCGACATGTAGTATGAGTACCTCCGGTATCGCCGGGAAGGGAAAACGGCGCGGAGGATTGTTTTCTGATGAGGGCTGTATTATCGCGGTGACCACGACTCGAAGCCGCTCAAGATCGAAACCACAGACCGGACTGACGACCAGCCAGCCCGATCCGCCGTCCTTGATTGGATCGTTGTCGATGAGGATGGAAAAGTGTTTCGCGACGGTGTTGTTTTTATCGGTGGCGAGAGAGCTGCGAACGCGTTCGAGAGCGACGACTTCATCGGCTATCCTGTCGCGACACATTTCTCGACTGATCATCTTGACGGCGACAAGGGCTGCACTCTGCGCCACGGAGTCAGTCGTGGAAGAGCTTACAGCTGACGGTGTGCGTACACAGAATGTGATGCTTCCACACGTACCCTTGCCAGCTTCGCGGATCGGGGTGTACAACTCGTTAGTCTCTTTGTAGATTGATTTGGGGTTCATGTCGTAGTCAGATGTTGCTGCGGAAGTGTACGCTGCTCACTGTATGCGTCGATCGAAGGGTCGCTCGAGAGTAAAATCGCCATATAGTCTAAGTAATGAATAGGTTGAGCGTTAACGCCAAAGAGCAGGGTCTATTGATAGTGAAAGGAGAAAATGCGATGCTGCGGTAGGCAACAAGCAACGCTGCAGAACCGTTCACTACGTCTAGCTCTGTTCAGCCATATTGTCTTGTAGGGTCTGAGACTTCTCACCGTGCCCCTGTGTCGTCGTTAGGATCTAGCAGATATCCGTGGTCACCTCGAAACACCGATTAGCAGGTAACAGAGCTGAGAAGCTGCGCCAACAAAGGAGTGAATCAGGAGTAAGAAACGTAGTGAACTCTATCAATTTGAGGCATCAAATAGGTGCCCAAGGTGTCCTATGGGTCGTATTGTACATAGTCGCATCTTCCACGACTGCCTCGTACTAATATACATTGTTGGCTTGCTTTTGGCTTGCAAGGTAGGCTTCCAACAAAGGTGTTCCAAACAATCAAGTCAGACTACCGCTGTCAACACCTCTTGGCATTGGTGGACGGGGAATGTGCCATGGTTCCTATCTGGCGGCATGGGTGCCTACTGGGGCTGAGTTCGGTCTCCTCCAGGAGCCTCTGGGATGTAGAGGATGCGCGAAGGAAGCGCTGCCTTTGCTTCGTCGCGATAAACATACAAGTTTTGTCATGTTGACATGTCCGCATCAAGGGTTCAAGGGATCGAATTCCGTAGTGTCCTTCCCCCAAATCTCAATGTGATTTACGTCTTCCCTTCTTACAACCGTTACTTTTCTTATTGGTCCTGCTCTTTTAGCGTTCATGCTGTTGTCCCGGCTGTTCGGTGTCGACTCGTTCTTCGATGGGTAGTAAACGTCGCCTAGCTTGAGCACGATGCTGTCGCCGTAGCCAACATACTTGACGTTCTTGTACTCCGGTCGCCAGAACTCTGTTCCAATCGCGAAGGCATGCATCTCAGCATCTGTGATTTGATACGGCGCTTCGCTTGTGTCAGAGCTTGGGCGGAATAGAAAACGGACGGCCCAGAGCTTGGGCACCAGAGCAAAGACCTGGCGCAGAGACTCAAGCGGTGGCACTGAGCAAGCGAAACCAACTTGCTCCAAATTAGAGCACGTTTGGCAAAGTCTGAACAGGGCATCGTCGGATAATACCCAGCGATCCGAGAGAAGGAGATGGCGAATGCTGTGGTTGTGATTGGTTTGAATGGCCGCAATAAATTCACTCCCGATGCTGCGACAGCGTTGGTCGGTCGTGTGTTTTGGAGTACTGCTCGCGCTAGAGACTCCGATGACACCTGGCGTCATCGTGGACGGTGTTGTTGGGGTTGCAGCAGCGCTGGTAGATCTTGGTGAGTCCTTGCCTCGCCTATTGCTCACAATGTAAAACCGCTCCATGCCCTTGAATTTGCCTAGCATGACAGCGCTCTCTTTATCCGTATTATCGGTGCGCATCACCTTCAGGTTGTGAGGCGTCGGGTGATTACTGTGTATCCTCCAAGAGTCGTCGGCAAAAACGGTCATAGGGTCCGAGGAGCCCATGGCGTTGATCAGGGTGAGCTCTGTATTGGTGTCGGGGCGGATAACATGGTGGAAGCCATCGTCGGAGAAGCGAGTGTAGATGTTGTATATTCCCAGGTGCTTAAGAGGTATAGAATACTTGGCAGACATGCATCGTCCGAATAACGAGTGCAGCGAAATCGACTCTTCGCCTACAGCCCGCATGCGCGGACTCCAGTGTAATGTGAGGTGCTCGAGCTTTTTGGAACCCAACAGAAGCAGCGAGATATCGTCGGGGTAGCAGAGAGGATCGATATCGTACACGATCAGAGTGGTCAGGTTCGGAAGCGGAGGTATAATGGTGGTCGGCCGTGGTATTCGTTTGGTTTGACACCGAAGGGTGAGCGAGACAAGCGTCGTCCTGGCTGCGATGCCCTGGTAGACGGTATACAAAGGAGGAGTGCTCAGCTCCCAACTGGGCATATCAGCATTTGTCCGATATGATTCTGGTACGACACCTACGCGAAAGCCTTGAGGTTCTTCATCTTGTCAATGGCGGCACGCATGACAACCTGCAGTATCATGCTGTTGTCCGGCACTCGGCCCTGCTTGTATTCCTCCGTATCATGTTCTCGCCAATCGCCTTTGACCCGGAACGTCTGTATGTAGTCGCCAAAGTTTCGCGACACGAGCGTGTTGAGGCCCATGGCAAACGGGCTGCCATTGCCGTAGCCTTCTGGCCTGCCATCTACGTATCGTATCTCGGCATACGAGTGTAACGTGACCGTCTCGTAGAGCCGCGGAAGCGTCATGTAGTAGAACAGACGCGACGTGCGCGTGATGCGCGCGAGGTCACCGACATCGTCGAGCTTCCGTGCGTGTTAGTATAGCTCGGTTGGGGCAGCTCGTCGCGTGGCAGGGCGCAGACCAACGTACGTGTGTGAGGATGAGCTGAATCAGGTGCAAGGGCAGCTCTTTCGCCTGCGCTAAGTTGCTGTGCGTCCGCGCGGGCGAAGTGAACCAGGTGTGCAGCGGCGCGGCCATGGCTCTATTGCTACCCTCTTGCAGCAACAAGGCATCGCCCGAGAGACGCGTGCGCTTTGGGTCCGACATGAGGCTAGATCAAGGGGACACATGCGTGATACAAACAAAAAAGGGTCCGTACTATCATGGCGGAACTCACAGCTTCATGGCGCATGCATATACGGTCATCATGGCTCATACGTCGTGCTGGCGAGGCGCGTCGGAACTTTTGCTCAGACGCCCGAATGTCCGCTTCGTCCACCAAGCGCGCCCGCATTGGTCCGGCTGCTCCGGGAAGACTCGGTTCACTCCTGGGCTGATGATCGACACCAGGCATTGTGTCCTTTCACGTGCACTGCAATACGGCATATACGGTCTGCATGAGGACCCTGCAAAGCCCTGCGTCGCTTTTTATATGGGTAGAACTCATTTCTATTTGACTGAAGTATGCGTGGACCCCCTGTTTGCGTGCAGCCAGAAAGGCTCATGGTGGGCGGAAATGTCTCCGATCACCACATGTGCACCAGACAACTTAAATATCCAGCGGTTCCGCCCGGAGAACTAAGATTTCGGAGTCGCCGTTTGCACCGATGCAACTAAACTACGCTCATGACCTGAAGAACCAGGGCTGTCTGCCCTTGTATTCGTCCGCAGGAACTCGAAAAGGGACCTCAATCGTTCCGTCAAACACGCTCATCGACGGTACGTCATCCTGCTTGAGACCCTGAAGCTTTGCCTCTGGCACAGGCATGACAACACCACACTCCCAGTTCCTGTCATGTTTTATACTAAGTTAGCATTTGTCTCACATGCAAACCAAATGTGTGTTTGCGTACCTGATGTTCAGACTCCCCATTTGTCCGCTCTTCAATACCTTTTGCCCTCCCCACGCTGATTCGGATATGTTGGCAGAGCCAACATAAACCCAAGCAAAGGGCTTCCCGTTCTTTCTACGACCTCGCGCGAAGAGCAGTTTGTTATGCGACAGCATCCCCCGTCGCATCGAGTCGTAGTCTCGCATGCATTCTCTTGGAAACGATGGTGCGTTGTAAGCCTGTCTTGTCAACGTAATGATACCGGCACCGTCAGGACCGCCCATGCTTTTCTCAACCGTTTCGTTGGTAGGGAAATATATCCGAAAGCAATCGCGTACGTTAGACTCTGGCGCAGTGTTTGTCCCGAACGACTTGCCGCATGCAGCGAGGCGAATGCGCGACAAGAAGGCATCGTTGATAGAACCGAGCGAGGATGCTGCGTAATCAAGCTCAATATGCTCGACTTCACCTAGATTGAGCTCTCTTATAGCGTGTGCGAGGCTAGGGAGACCTGTGGGATGGGTTGATTCGGTCTTGTGCGAACCGCCACTATTTTGAGTTAGTACTGGCCCCCAATGAGCATAGTTGAGGACATACATGGAGTGCACAAAAGCCAGATGATTAGTCTTCGAGAAGTCGCATTTCAACAGGCCGGTGATGATCTGCGGACCCACTTCCTGCTGTTCCAAGAAATATACCAACTCGCGACCAAAAGGTGTCAAGTCTTTCGCCTCCGTGACAGTACCGTCATGTCTGCGAGGGAGGTCTATCAAGAACACCGAATTCTCCATGATGCCGGGCTGCCAGTCGTTTGCGACCTCGCCCCAGTCGGTCTGTGTCATGTTCGCAGTTGGAACCGCAATGCGCAGTTTATCTTTCCCAAACAGCAGCATGAACTTGCTGTGCATGCTGGCTATCATGCCACCCATAGGCGGGAAATGAAGCTTCATGTTCGGTACGCGAGACTCTCTCCACTCTTGTATGCGCTTTGCTTGAACGTCCTCGCCTCTGTGCTTGCCAGTCATCAGCCAGATCTGCTTAACCTTTGTCGGGTCCAGTTTTTCGTAGAGCCATCCCGAATCGTACTGGAATGAGCTGATGACTGCGGTATTGACTTTATCGGCTTCTAGTAGTTCTTCAATAGTGATGTCGTCAGTTCGCGGGTACTTGGACGCAAAGGTGCGCTTGATCGCGCCACTGGGGTATTGTAATGGTGTCTCGCCTGAATCGCTTTTGGCGGCAGGCGCTCTTGCAACTTGCTTAGAAGGTGCCTCGGGCGAAGCCTCCCGCTTCCTTTTGCCGAGCCTTGCGAGACGCTCCAATTCCATCGCCTTCCGATCCATACCCATGAAACCTGGAGGTTTGTCGACGAAGGCTGCTGTCTTGGCTACACTCGTTGGCGGTGCGCTCGAAGCCGATGACTGTTTCACGTCATTATTGGCGCTTTCCTGCATCGATAGGGCAATCGCACGCCTGAGATCGTCGTCATCTTCGTCCTCAGTGTCAGATGTGAGGTCGATTGACTCGTGCTTATCGCCCGATGCGCTGCCGCGTGCAGCCCGAGGCGAATTCGCCTGTAAGGACATTGCCATCGCAAGCTTGAGATCTTCATCATCAGTATCCATGTGTCCAAGAGTCAAGATGTGGTTGTTATGGGAATGTTGGTGATGGGGTAAACAAAGAGATTCGTTGAGAAGCGGAAGCGATCCGGCATGGCAGGACCCCCGGGGCCTGAACGCGCTGTCGCGAAAGCATGTGACCAAGGCTTGGCAACCTATATGGATCATCACGGCTTTGAGCTCAGCCTGCTCTGTTACACCAACGAAGATGCGCCTAAAACGATTTTATTCTCCCATATAGACTACTCATATCTTCTACAACAGTCGTTCACTTGGTTTTGCCGTCGACAACCCCGCCCGTCCGCTGCACGTTGCGAAACACCACCAAGTATCCCAGATCAGCCAGGATCCAAGTAACCATCATCACCACTGACATCGGATTGACATAGTAGCCGTGTGCCTCCGGCCATACCCACCAGACATATCCGTAATTCACCGTCAACCCCGACACACTGCCGATAAAACGGCACGCCCAAATGCTATACGAAGAGCCGCGACTGCTTCCTCTGACCACAAGCTGTGCCAATGACATGACGCTCAGCACGACCTGTGCGACCAAAGCAGTCCAGAAACCTAGCTCGTCCTTGTCGATGCCCAGATTGCCGCGGTACGCTTTACCAACTTTTGGGTTGACGGGGTGATCGACATCAAGCCACCAAGAGCTCACAGCATACAACGCGATGCACCACCATACCAACATACCAGCAAAGATCTTGCCGATATTCTTGCCCACTGCTGGCGCATGTCTCCATTCATTTGCGCCATACGTGATAGCCGCGTAGACAATGCCCATGTCTAAGAGTCCCCATATGGCGAAGAGGGCCTTCTCCCGGAGCTCATCGGCAACGTATATCGCGAATACAATCTCCCACGCAAAGTCTGCACGTTGGTGTACCGGGTCAGTATGTCTCATATACAGCCCGCATGGAGACACCTACTGAATGCGAGCGAGAAGAGGGGCATGGCGTATGTGCGGTCGCGAATGGACTGGCGTGCCATCAGGGCGTAACAGATTGTGTACAAGATACCGCCGGTGCCCAGGAACACATCGTTCGCGTCGAAGATGGAGGGGTCAACGTGCGCGGGCAAGATGTCAAGGCGGCCCATAATTGCGAATTGAAATTAGAGATGAGATGAGCAGACGCAGTATACGCAGTAGAAGGGAGTCAGCATATACCGTGAGGGGGTGGGGCCCTGTCGGCACGAGCCTCAGTAGCGCTTATGGTTAGTTCGTAAGGGTGAGGTGTCACTCGGACCGCTTCCGGGCTCCCGCAAACTTGTATACGCCGGCCGTATATGTTTGTGCTTTCAGCTGCAATGCGATATTGTCACATGCAAGATGCTTGGGTGAATTGGCATACAACAGTGTGAAATCCGACGCGGTTGTTACTTTGCAGTCTTCCGGCTTTGGCGATCTTTAACTATCCCCCGTGTAGCGTAGATACGAACATGATGTGATCGCCTCTCTGAACCTCGTACTTGTCTTCGCCTTCTAGCTCCCAGTCTGCTTCGTTGATGAGGACCAGTATTCCAGGTCGTCTGAAGCTAATGTCAGCATGTCAATGTTCGCTTGGGGCAGGAACATACACAGTATCATCAAGGACGAAAAGTTCTTTCCGCGGATCCTTCATGACCTTGTCGCAAAGATATCTGACAAGGAACGCAACATTTGCGGGCTCTCCAGACTCATCTTTCGCTGGCAGGGCAAGATCATACTTTTTCTGGTTGGCGAACAGGATCTCCAAGCCCCCGCTGTAGAAGATTAGAGAGGAACGTCGCCAGTTCGCAGGAAAACCGACCTACCTGAACTCTATCGTTATTGGGATCGTCTCATCGTTTGACATTTCGTCTCTGCTCGTCTGTAAGATGCTAGAGTTGTGAGAGATGCGGATGTTATCGAGATCGGTTGCGCCTGCTCTGCAGCCCTGAGCCAAATGCAGCTAAGCGAGGCTAGCGCCAAAGAAATCCTTACGGCGATGACTAGATGCGGTGCCTGCGCATACGCAACGCCTAGACCCAACAATGAACATATCTACTGAGTTCATCGCTGCAGGTGGCAATCGGAATCCCGCTGCCGCTGACTGGGATGAGGCCGGGTCGCAACTGCTAGCGTTCGGCGCAGACAATTGCATCGCACTCTGGGATCCTCAGGTGAGTCGCGGCTGGCCAATGACACAACCTTCACTCACCAAGATAGGACGAAAGTCTTCGTGGCGTGCAAGCAATCCTGAGTGGACACACCAAAGCTGTGAACGCTGTCAAATTCTTTCCAACACAATTGCCCAATGTCTCAGTCCTGCTCAGTGGATCGGCGGACAACACAATCCGCATATGGCGAGGCCGAAGAGGCGAATCTTTCGACTGTGTCAAGACGGTTTCAGATCACACTCAGCCAGTCACCAGAATAGCAGTACTGCCTGGCTCGGACAATTTGGCAACCGGATCTTCAGACGGCACTGTCAAGATCTGGAAGCTTGTTCATGACGCAGACTTCGAGTCCGTCGATGTCGAGCTTGTACAGACAATCACACTGTCACCAAAGTACTTCCCTCTGAACCTCGCACTTGCGACTCTGGACGAAAAATCTACAGTGCTAGCAGTTGCGGGCACACGTAGCACCATTCAAGTCTTTGTATCGCAAGAAGGCCAATTCCAG